ATTGAAGTTACTATCTTCTGATTCAGAGGAAGGAGTGTTACAAGCTGAGCCAGGCTGACACCTTGAGTTAAGTAATAATGTAGCTTCTACAGTAATTCTTTATTCAGTACAAAGTTACTTCAAACTGTTCTTAGACAAACAGTTTGAAATAACTTTCTCTTGGCAATCCATCCCACAGTCTCTCCGCCTCGCTACCTTCCTTGCCTCCTTCAAGACCTGTCCAAATAAGGAGGAGGAGGCAGAGGGAACCCTGGTCGCAGATGGACAAAATGTCATTTGTCACTTTGACCGGGGCTGTTTCTGTGCTTTGGGTGGCATGGAAACCCAATTAGAGGGGTTCGTGAAGGGAATAGCAGGAGAGGAAGAAGCAAAGCTGGGAAGCAAAAACTCGTTCCAGGACCTTGGAGAGGAAAGGGAGGTTGGGGGTGGGATGGTAATTTGGGAGTAGAGATGGATCCAGGGAGGTTTTTTCAGGACAGGAGTGATGATGGCGGTTTTTAATTGGGTGGGAACAGTACCAGTGGACAGTGAGATGTTTGTGATGTCTGTGAATAGAGGGGCAAGAAGGTGGAGCTGGGAGATAAGGAAAGGGGTACGTATGGGGTCAAGGGAGCAGGTGGTCGGTTTCATGCGGATTATGATGGTGATGAGAGAGGAGTGGGACACAGGTTCGAAGGTGTGGAGGGTGGATGGGTAGGGGCTGGTGTGGGAGGAGGAGATTGGGAGGGTGCAGCAGATGCAGTGGCAGAGGCCGCTGAGCTGATCCCATCAATTTTGGATTCGAGGAAGTCCAGCATCACTCGCATTTGGCATTTGAGATGAGGATGGGCGAGGCATGAGAGGGTAGGTAGAGGAGCCGGTTCGTGATGGAGTAGAGGAGCCTAGGACTGTCCTTGGCCTCCAACAACAACAAGATTCCATTTATAAAGCGCCTTTCACGTCAGGAGGACGTCCCAAGGCGCTGCACAGTTGGGTCATGACCTGAGCAGGGGGGAAATGGTCAGGGTGAGGGGAGGGAAGGGAGGGAGCGAGGAGGGGGGAAATGGTCAGGGTGAGGGGAGGGAAGGGAGGGAGCGAGGAGGGGGAAGAGAGTCGAGAGGGGAGCTGAAGGCTCGGTCAAAGAGAAAGGTTTTGAGACCGGCCTTGAAGGAGGAAAGGGAGGAGGCGGCGAAGGCACTGGGGGATAGAGTTCCAGAGCCTCGGGGCTGAGAGGCTGAAGGCCCGACCACCGATGGTAGGGCGGTTGGGGCGGGGGACGTGGAGCAGACCGGAGCCGGAGGAACGGAGGGTACGGGCAGGTAGGTAGGGTGATAGTAGGTTGGAGAGGCAGGAGGGAGCAAGGCCGTGAATGGCCTTGTAGGTGAGGATGAGGATCTTGAAATCAATCCTCTGGGGGATGGGGAGCCAGTGGAGGCGAGCGAGGGTGGGTGTGATGTGGTCCCGAAGCCTGGTGCGGGACAGTACACGAGCTGCAGAGTTCTGAATGACCTGCAGCTTGTGGAGGGAGGTGGCGGGAAGGCCGGTGAGGAGAGAGTTCCCATAGTCCAGCCTTGAGGTGATAAAAGCGTGGACCAGAGTTTCAGCAGCGTGAGCGGTGAGGTAGTGCCGTAGTCTGGCGATGTTCCGGAGGTGATGGAAGGCGGTGCCAGTTGTGGTGCGGATGCGAGGGAGAAAGGACAGCTCAGGGTCGAACAAAACGCCGAGGTTGTCTTGGAGTAGAACAACGATTTATGGAGGCGAGGGCAGAGTGGTAAAATTTGATAAAGTCCAGCCAGATCTGCTGATGGACAGTTAAGTTTGATTTAAGTCAGGTGCGCTCAGCAGCACGCACCTGTGCTTTAAAGGACTTATGTGAATAGGAGATGGTTTGGGAAGAGTGGGGAGCAAGGGAATTGAGAGTGGAGGAAAGGGAGCTGTGGAGAAGAGTGACCAGGGAGGATAAGTCATTGCGGGAGGAAGCCCAGAGGGGAAGGAGGCCAGGTGACTCCAAGGCAGTCGAGTGGTGGGGTGGGGGAGATTTTTTCCAGTAACGGTAGGAGATGGAGGTGGGGTGGGTGGCAGTGGGGAGAGGGATTGAGGAGTTAAGGGAGATGAAGTGTTGGTCCGAGATTGCTTTGTCGATGATAGTGAGGTCTTAGATGATGAGAAGTCAGCAGAGGTAAAGCAGGAGGGGATGAAGTGAAGGTTGAAGTCTCCTAGGATGAGGAAGCGTTCGGAGCAGATGGAGAGGGAAGATCAGAGGTTGGAGATGGCGGGGATGAAGGTGGGGGAGGGCCGGGGGGGATAAGGAGAATTTTGAGCGAAAGGTTGGAGGGGTGATAAAGGATAAGGTGCTCAAAGGAGGGGAAGATTCCAGAGGAGTAAAGGGATAGGCCGAGCGAGGACCGGGAGATGAGAGCCATACCGCCACCATGGCGGTTATGTCGTGGGGTATGATGGAAGGTGTAGCCGGGTGGTGTGGCCTCTATCAGGGGAAAGGTGTCACCTGGAATGACCCAAGTTTCAGTGAGGGCGAGACAGTTGATGTTTTCATCTTTGATGAGGTCTTGAATGGTAAGTGTTTTGTTGGAAAGGGAGCGGACATTTGTAGGCCGATGTGGAGGGGACAGTAGGTGACGGAATGTGGGTGGTGCGAGTGGGGGGAGGGAGCGGACTGACAGGGAGGGTGGGAATGTGGATGAGGGAGGAAAGGTTGGCCCCCGTGGTCAGGGACCGATGGACCTTGTGGCGAGAATGGGGGATACAGCAGTCATAGTGGGGTCTGCCATGGTGGGCCCAATGGAGGATTTGCAGGCTGGAACACAGGGAGGCAGTGGGACAGTCGAGCAGGAATAGGAGTCGGGGAGGGCAGTGGGAAAAGAGGACCGAGCGGGAGTAGTGGAGGGTAGAGGACAGGGGTGGGAGCATTTTGGGAAAGCAGCTCAGGTCAGTTGCGGCAGCCAAAATGCACACACTGAGTCTAAGAGCGAACGGGGGGGGGGGGGGCACTATTATTTGAATGGAAGGAAATAATATGTATGGAAAATGAATAGGACCTGGGGGTCCTAATTGACAATAAACTGAAGCTCTCCCAACTATACTCTGTGGCGATGAGTAAAACAAATCAGATGGCTTGCTATTGATCTTTTAATGCATCCTACTATCTGGTTTGCTTTACTTACTGCCACAGAGCATAGCTGGGAGAGCTTCAATTTATTGTCAACAGACGGGAAACCTTTGCACTGAAAACACTGGCAAGAAATTCAGTTACCCAGGAATAAAAAAAATCATTAAAATAGTGCAAACATGCCCATAGTCTCTACTCCCAAATCTCCCACATAGCCTTGATTGGGAGTAATCAAAGGAATTGAGACTGAAGTTGTGGAAATTCTCTTACCTCTTAGGTATAATGTCAATTCTTACATTGCCGCATTTGTAACCACTAAAATCTCTTATGTTTTTGCGAAGAAGACAAATCATCCAGCGAAAAAGCTGAGAATGGTAACAAAGGTCTGCCCAGTTCTCAGTTGCTGCAGACATGTGAAGGTGTTTGCTAAACTCCACTCAGATATCAATTGATGTTGATCTCCTTCCAATCACCAAGTGTTCTTCTGCTTCATGAAAGATGAAATCAAGACAGGTTTCTGACCAAAGTTACAGAGGATCAATCTCAATTACAGCCCAGTCTTGCAAACCCCAGTATTTCTATGGTTTACAATACTGGGAAGGTCCAGCCCATAGCTCATGGTCCTAGCTATCACCCACAAACAATAGACTTCAACCAGCAAACTCCTGATCTCTAAGTTATAGCTCTATCTGGTAGGGGCTTCCTCATTGTTTTCATTTTCATATTATGTTATGTGTTTTATACAACACAACAAAGAATGAAAAGGAATTGTTTATTTGAGCTGCAGACTTCTACATTTAGGCAGCCAAGGAATGGGTGTACAGATCCTTTCAGTCTGTTTCGTTCACTTGAGTCCAAACTTAATTGAAACTCAAACTCTTACTTAACGGATGATCTACTCGTTTGCTTAGATGCAAAACGTGAGATTACTAGGGATCATCAAAAAATTCACATATCAAATAATTTGACATTACACTACCCAACTGAGAAACAAAATGATTTGAGAAAATGGGGACATGGGTTTAGAGCTGAATGGGCCAATTTCAGGACAGGTGCCAGGACATATTTCTTCATTCAGAATATAATTAACAATTGGAACAAGTTACCAGTAAGTATGGTTGAGGCCAGGTTGCTCAATTTGTTTTTTGTTAAAATGATTTGATGCTGTGATGGGCTGATAGGAAGATGGGTATTCTAGAAGGGAGAGATCAAATGGCTCAAAGTGACTTCTTTATCCAGCCGATCTTATCATCTTGTGATTCAGGCGTATTTGAATAGGCAGATTCAGGCCCCAATCCCTTTCATGCACTGCACACTCATTGAGATGTGCTTCAATAGCCTCAGATTTATGTACTTTTCCAATGCTTCTTGTAAACAGTAAAAGGTTGAATACAGCTTACATTTGTATGTTGTAAAGGGTTCAAGGAGGGCAATAGGAATGCCAGCATTTAATGAGAGCAATAAATCAATTACTCCAAATATCTCCTGAAATATTTTAAATGAACATTTATGACTGTAATTTTACAGGATATCTTAAAAATATTTCTACATATGCAGATACAAGAAAAATTGTGTCCAAACTGTTTTTGTTTAATTTTTCATAAGACCGAGAAGAAATTATAATAGTGCAAACACTCAGTATAAAAGTTGTAATTAGAAATTTACATTCACATTAAACATTTCCATCATATTATCCACTTTTAACATAAAAGGTAGGACAAATATTTGATTCTTTAGGTCATTCTTACAGTTTCAAAAGAGACTGAAAGATATTCTACAATATTCAATATGTACATAAAAATAGACCCGTATTTAATATGGAAAACTTGGCTAACTGGTTACTTTTAAAAAAAAATAGAAACACTTAGCAGTTTGTGTTTGTATGTGAACAAAAATACTTAAAAGGAATATTTTTGCAAAACATTTGATATAACCATGAGGCCACAATGATTAAAAAACCTAACAGCCCCCAGCCTGCTTTTCCCACCTTTTGAGCTGCGGTATTCATCAATGTAGACCATATATTGAAACTATCAGCAAATGAATGCTGCAGAACAAGCCCATTAACCATCCTTTGAATCTTTGCAAAATGTTCTACACCTATTCTTACAATTGACATTTATTGCTACTGAGTATTAGTTATGGCCCCTAGGAAAATAAATGGCAGCGAAAGGTTTTCACCATTCCAGGAAGTGCTTTGTCACTGTAATCTGCCTATATCTCTCTGGCAAAGATTAGCTATAATGAATGGGAGTTCTGTAGTTTTGATATATGATGGGTTTGAATTAAGGTCAGCAAAAAGAATACTGCAATTTATAAAGCAATGTCGATGGTCATGCTTATACCAAGAAAACGTCATTATAAAAATTAACTACGTCATCTGACATGTGCTTTTTATATACCATACGCATTTCATACTGCATAATTAATAATGGTATTTACAGGAATTACATACAATAAATTCTTGCAGAGAATTATATGAAAAAGGCAGACTTTGAAAATGCTATGCGTTTAAAAAATAAATTAAATAAGGCAATAGTACACAATTTTGACAATTTGTGAAACCAAGGAATGGCCAACGATATAAATATGAGTACGAATTCTCATAATAAAAGCAGTCATGTGATAAATGCAGTGGCTGAATACATCTAGAAAACATGCAGAAATTTAAAATGCACAAATTCTAGTTATAGTTCATTAAGACTTCTAAAATTATTTTCATTTTACATAGAAAGATATCCGTCTTTGCCAGAAATATGGTTCTTTACTTCTTCCAACAGATAGTTAGCCCTTTTGTTTGCCGTTCCAAGAATATTATATTGTGACACCCAAAGTTTTGCTCTTTGGCCGGAATGCAGTGATTCTTGGCTTTCACGTGACTCACATCCTCCTGCTGATTATTCAGGAAGATGTGGCTTTCCCTGGTGCCTGACTTCCAAAGTCAAAGCCTTCTCCAAAGATAACCACAACTGCATTAAAGAAGAGTCTGCTGTTTTTCTCCTTTCTCATCAATTCCAAATACAGATTTACTTACACCAAATGTTATCATGCTTGTTTGACAACTGGTACAGGTGAAAGGTAGTTCACAGTTTGATTTGCATGATTTGTAGAGGCCTGAAGTGCTCCAAGTCCAGCCTTTACTGTAAAGCTGGCTACCGATGATACCGATGGACAGCTTGTTCCTAGCTTTGCCTGAATATTTGCTCTTCCAAATGAATACATTTTCCTCTCTGAACTTGCTGAGTGTACTTGTGGATTGCTGTTCACTTTTCCTTCAAGGAAATATGTTAACATTTCTCCTTTTCCTTTCACACTCACTTTGCCCCTACACAGAAAGTCATAATTACATTTCTTGAGTATTCGATGGACATCTTCTGTTACCTGAAGATGTGAAGATGGACAATTAGTTTATTATTATTATGTATTACACAGTCTTTAAAAATTCAAAACACCAAATGCTTTACCAAATGAATCCAGATGTGGAGTTTCTTTGATTTGAGATAATTTCAAATACACCAAGGCCGCAGAACAAGACAACACAATTTCAGGTTTGCAAAAGGCTACTTCATAACAGCAACAAATTATCCACAAAGAGTTATTGAGGTCAGGATGTTGGATTCATTTAAGGAACAGTTTGGTGCTGTAATAGATGAATGGTAAGTTAGGCATTCTGAAGACTTAAGTGCCTACTTCATCTGAACCTCTTGTGATCTTGTGTGATCTTATAAATTTCATTTAATATTGCAACATACATAACATTAATCCATGTTAAATCCTAAAATTGATACGCATTCTATAATCTTCCATTTCCTGGGTCCCAACTACTATTCCTTCAATATGAAATCATTAGATATCTGTTTTACAGTGTGCCAGCTACCAGCATCCCTTGGGACAGCCACTAACAGCCAAAATACAATCCAAATGTAAAAAAAAAGCATCATTATAAATGATATGTTTTTACACGTATAAAAATAAGTGGGCTGTATTGTTAGAAACACTGTAATGTGATCCTTGTGCTCACATTTTGTTTGGTCAGCTGGGTGTCCCCCACACACATCACCATGCTTAAAAGTTTTCAAATTAGAGTGAGAGTTCCACATATACATGGATATGCATATATTGGTTATGAAGGACTCAAAGTTCGCTCTCAAAATTTATATCATGATAACGCTCTGTAAGATATCACCTCTTTGTTATCTTTCCCAGCTTTCTTTTATTCCACATAAACAATACCCTCTCGGCAGTTTAGTACTAGTCTTAGCATCAAAAATGTTCAACATCATTTTAGGACCACGTTTTTGGGAGGATTAGCATTTATTTTATTCAAACTATGGCAAATCTTCCTAAATAAATTATAGCTTTAGAGTCTCCACCCTTTGCTCTTTTCGTTTAGGATTCGCAGAACACTTTGTCTTAATTCTGGTAACTTGTGACATCTGAACTTAAGCTATCGTATTATTACTCACTCCTAATCATCTGGAATTCAGCTTCAAGAATGTTTTATTTCTGCATTACTTTGGGAGTTACTACAACTTGCAACAAAAGCCAGAATACAACTGTATTTGTTTTGTTTGGAATTTTGGGTCACGAGCACAAACAATGAAAACATAGCTAAAGGAACATAATAAGTGATGGATAAAATAATAAGAACATTAGTAATAAAATTCAAAAAAATCTATCTTAAGAATCAGTAAACACGCAAATTACTGGAAGTCCAATTAAATCTGACAAATGAGGGTGTTTGGTATTTGTGATTAAATGTGTTAGGACACTTTGTGGACAGTAATTTCCTGCAAACAACCATGAGTGAATGAGCTATCTTATCTGAAGATGCTTGGTTAGTTCACCAGAAAGAACTCCTTTCGCTTGCTGAATAGTGTCAAGGAATCTTTCACATCCATCTCAAAAGGGAGACTAGACCTCAGTTTAACATCTGATCATAAGATTGCACTTCCAACAATGCACCTCCCCAACACAAGACTCGACTATAAGATTAAAGTTCCAACATGGGACTTGAACCACCAATATTCTAGCTCAGAGGTGAGACTGCTATCAATTGAGTCAAGCTGACACTTAGCAGTACAAGCAGTTCATGACATTTTTGCAACATTAGCTGAAATTTTGGCCTATTGTTCTTCGAAACTGAACTACTATGCATCTAATGTTTTTAATCCCCAGGTTTGATACTACAGTAGAAACATAAATTTACATTTATATAGCACCTTTCACATTGGGAGGATGTCTGCGTTTGGCAGTCCATGCCTGGGATCCGAGTTGAGGGTGAGAGCTGAGGGGGATGGGGTGGGGAAAAATGACCGAAGGTGCAGTCAAAGAGGAAGGTCTTGAGACAGACCTTGAAAGAGGTGAGAGAAAACTTGTGGACAGAGTTTCAGAGAGTGAGGGCAGACAGGCTAAAAGCCTGACCTGTGATGATGGGTACTGAAGTCTATAGGCCAGAATGAGTTACTGATGGTGAATGCAATTGAAATGATGAGGAAAAATTTTCTTGAATTTTTTCAGTATTGGTGAACTACTGTGGGATTGATTCAAAGCAAGAGCAGATAGGAGGTAGATCTGACAATCAGACTGAAACACTTACAGTGAAGAGGAAAGGAATGCCATGTTTGCATGCATTCTTTTGAGATATATAGATTTAATATCAGCCAGGCTCAGTTGGTAGCATTTCCACCTCTGAGTCAGAAGTTTGTGGGTAAAAGCCCCATGTCAGACTATGTAAACTCAAAGTCTCAAACTGACACTCCAATACAGTGCTGGGGATGTACTGCAATGTTGGAGGGACTGTTCTTTAAGTCCACACTTTGCAGTCTATTCTCTTAAGTGTTTTGAGATATCCCTTGACAAGAAAGGCTCTACGTCAAATGTAAGGATTATTATTATCATCTTGCTCTATTCATGTTCCTTGATTGTGGTTGGGAATGGAATTCAGAAAGAATAAAGCTGGTTATTTTGCATGTTAAAATGCTGGGTCAGTGTCTCATCAAATTAGAAAATATATTCTTGATACAATTCATCTCATATTATAAGAGCCTGGCTCAGTTAGTAATACCTGCACTACAAGCCAGTAGTTCAAGGCCTACATTTGTATTTGAGCATCAGTTTAGATCAACACTCCAGGCAGAACTGGGCAAGAGCTGTATTATCAGAGATGCTGTCGTTCAAATGAAATGTTAAACCATTGTCCCATCTGTCTGCTCAGACAGATATTAAAGATCCCATGACAATACCTGAAAAGACTTGGCAACAGTCCTCCAAATAAATTAGTCATTCATCTCATGGCTGTTTGTGGGACCTTGCTGGTGGAAATTATCTGCTGTGTTTGTCTACAAAAGTGTCACTTCTGACTGTAATTACCTGTGGAGCACTTGGAGCTGTTTCAATGTGATAAAGTGCTACAGAAATGCAAGTTCTTTCCTTCTTATAATGAGAAATACAGGATTTCATACAACAGCAGGTTCAAAGGCACTGTTGGCAAGCTAATTGGTTGGTGCAAACAGCTTTGGATTTGCATTTGAATGAAGCTAGGGGTAAAGGTTTACCCTTGGTTTGTTATTGACTAGGACATCTCCAGAAGTGGACCGCCCCACAATATAATATTTATCACCATATAAAACACAGCCTTTTCATCGCATCATAATTTATTTAAAACAATAACAGCCCTTCATACTGTGAATTGATGTTCTACCTACAGTAGTTGTTGGACTGTATGTAACATTATCAAACTGTAATGAATTAAAATAAGTTTCATATTAAAAGTAAAATTGTACACTGACACCCATATACTGTAATTAATTGTCAATTGCCCACTGAAAACATTTACAATAGAAAATCTATGCTTAAAAAGCAATTCATTTACTTACTTGTATTTTGCCTTGAACCCCAGTACTATCCATTCTGCTGGCAACATTCACAGTGTTACCCCAGATGTCATACTGTGGTCTTCTTGCTCCAATCACACCGGCCACTACCGGTCCAACATTTATGCCTGGGTAGAAAAAAGATCAGTTTGCTTGAAGGTTTGAATATATTGCCTTGACATTAGCTCTATAGCTGTAGGAAATTACAGACAATATATTCAGTACTGCCAAAAGAAGCCAGCAACTAATGCACAATGAACTCAATGCAAAAAACTTTGAGCGTTTTGATATTCACAAGATATGGGGATTCTCAGCCACACCATAGCAGTGATAATAAGAGAGTGATAGGAAAGCTTAGGAAAGCATGGGACAGGAAAAGGCCATTTGGGTCATCAAACCCACTACTTCTGATGAACTGCAAAACCATGGACTCTCCTAAGTTCAATGAATCCTTTGAGAGAAGCAAATGTCTGCAGGTAGCTATTCCAAGAAAATGCCAAATATGTTTCCTTTGCTTCCAAATGCAACCAAGCAAAACCGTGAGAACATTAATTTAGTATTATTCAACCCTGATCACCAGTCAGCATTCCACAGATGATATTATTATTGTCCCACCAGCACCAAAGCTATTCCCTCCTGGAGAGTATCTGTGTCTATAATTATTCCTTTTACCTTCATTCCCTTCAGTAAACATATGTGCATCTAGCTTTATTTAAAATAAGTTAATATAATATTACTTCTCATCTAAGCCTTTAATCACACTTTGCGAACCTGGTTACAACAAATTATTAATGAAGTTCAGCACTTTCGAAAACCTGCACCTTATCCCTTCAGATTCTTTTCTTTCTTGCAATGTTGGATCTGAATCCTTAATCCTATTTTAATTTTGCAGTTTGAGTTTCAGAATAAATCTTGTTGCCTTTCTTTAAACTCACTGTGACAAGTTGACTCTATTTTTGTATAAACTTGCTGAATATATACCACTTTCAACAAGATGAAAGGATTTAAAGGGTATAATTTTCCTCTATAGCCTGTTCTGTTAATGTGTATGAATCTACATTTCATCGGTACAATGCAGCCTTGAATGACCAAGTTACCGGGACTAACTCACCTCTGTAAATGATAATTTGCCCATTCTCAGTTGCTGGATGGTTCAATTTACCAGTTCATAATTCATTAACAACTGCAGTCTAACTAGCCTAAGTGCAAAGTCTAGTTCTGGACAGGGTGGAGGCTGCCAGGATGCTAGTCAAAACAAACCTAATAAGAAGCAATAATAAACAGTAAAAATAGACCTTTCAAATGGACTCTCAATCCATATAATCTGGGGCCAACATTCCTCCTTTTGTTAAATAATGGGATAGAACACTTTTTTTGGAAAGTTTTACTGAAATGCTAACAAAAGTGCAATGAGCGTCTGCATTCCAGCTGTCGACTGTGTGAAGCATGATTCTGTTAGTGTTGATCAAAATATTACAATCTGCAAGAGAGCATTCATGCTTCTGAAGCAGCTCACAGGTCACTTGGCCCCTGCAAAATTCAAAACATCTGTACAGCTGTGGAGGTTGGAACTTCTGCCAAAAATATCTCAACAACAGCAATGGAAAGGGTGATTTATGGACAACGCCCTGCTAGTGAACACCATTATGGAGCAATGCAAGCACATTTTTAGAGGGTAGGGCAGCCCTCCCAGCATGAAAGTAAGTCAGGAAGTATGGCAATATGTTATAGACCGCATCAAGTCTGGCTCTGTGATTAGGAACATCAGCCAGAAGGTCTGAAATAAAGGGCAGAACTTGAAATACGTTGCAAAGGTAAATTGTTAATATCAGTGCACATTTAGACCATGGGATGAACATTGAAGACATTGTAAGTGATATCAGCAAAAAATGCTGCACTAAAAAAAGAAATGTTAGCAATAATGTTAGCAAAAAAGGCCACAAAAATTAAAGCAGTCAATTACAATGAATGGTCATGCAAGACATTTCCCCTCCTTGCATTATTAAAGAAGGCCCATCAAACCCAGTTCTGCGACAGGGTTTTTTAATGAGGCTAGCTTTCCAGGTAGATCGTCACTTATATATCTTCGCCTCTCGCATTGATCAAAGATCATCTTGACAATCTCCAATCATTTGTTCAGTGCTGGGTTGCACTGCAGTTTGATTTCATATAGCTCAATTTGATTAACAACAAGAACAAGCCTTGTATCTGATGTGATGCCTTTCAATTCGAGAGGACATATCAAAGCTCTTCACATGATATACTGTAAATTGTAGTGACTGTATGTAGATGAGGAAGGTCTGAGGAACTCTAAATGTTTGCTTTTAGAAAGGAATCTTCCTACTGCATCCATTGCTAAAACTCTGTTTTATTCATTTGTTTCCTTAATCTGGCCATGTCTAAATTAGTTATCTTTTTCTGTGATGACTATTAGTTGTAGCAATTGATTTTTGAACATGGAATGCCATTAATAGCAGTCACTCCAAAACGATGAATTAGGCTTTTCCATCTCCTTTTTGAAACATTTGAAAAGTGAAGAAATCCTAATCCCAAATTGTTCACAAAAACAGACATGGAAGTTGCTGCCAGATTTCCATCCTCTATTTAAAAGTAAAATATTTTTTTACACCCTTTCAATTGGAATTGGTTGACTTATTTTTATGTTAACTAAACCAAACTAATAAAATTGACAGGACTTCTGGAGCATGCAATCATGCCTGTCAAGATTTAAGACTACTGCTTTAAAATTTACAAACATATGCAATTTGGGGAAACTAAAATTAAGACTACAGTTAAATTTAGCCTCAATTTGGGATCCTTATTTTTCACAATACTCGAAGAGAACTGTGGAAACTTGGCATCCAATTAGAGATTGCTTTCCAAATCCTTTACTAATCTTAAATTTGAGGACAATGGTCAAGCCTAAGAACAATCTCAGATAATATTTGAATCACAGAATCATAGAATCATACAGCACAAAAAGAGGCCATTCGCCCCATCGAGTTTGTGCCGGCTCTTTGAAAAGAGCAATGTAATGTCATTTGATAACAATTACAATCCTCAAACAAGATTAACTCAACTGTAGATATAGATTCCTCTAAATCTAAACTTCTACAGAGTTATTAGATTTTACAAGCTATGTGTAATGAAACCATTCATTTATTTAATGAAATCCCTCAAGAAAAAAATAAAATAAAATTGATCACTTCAATCCACGACTGTTTGTGGGACACTGCCGTGCGCAATTGGGTGCCACATTTCGCCCACGAGCATACAGTCAATTCACGTTGAGATGTCTAGAAGATGTGAAAAACACTATATCAAATGCAAGGATTATATTATCATTATTTATTCATCCTGCTTTGTGTACTTTAATTAAAGGAGCATTATCTACAGGAGTATCTGCTTTCTTATTAGCTGAGTTTTGTCCACCTTTCTTCCCACATAACAGTAACTGAATCCTATACTCTGTTGAAATACATTACACACAATTTAGATTCTTAATGCAATGGAGCAATTATTTTTATTTGTCGGGTATTTAAAAGGCAACGAGTACTGATCATATTTTGAGCCTGCGAGTAAAAGTGCTTAATCATTGTGCAGCAGCCGCGTCTAGCCAACTACAACATTGCCAAATGGAGGATCTTGTCATTAAGGCATGAATGCTTTGAGATTTATAATGTAACAAGTTTAACATTATGTTTGTTTGTGGGAACATGATAGCAACAATAGGATGAAACGTTACCCTGGTGACATTTAATCCTCAGATTAAATTTAATCCTATATTTTAGCTTTGAATTAGTTAGATTTGAGGTAACCAGTAATTACACCAAATATATGGCAGTCATCGAGCCTCAACTCTTGGTACAACATTCTTTTCAAAACAAATTTGTTCCAGTCTTTGAGAGCATTAGATGGTAATGGAGTCCTGTAGCTCAGTGGTTAGAGCACTCGCCTCGCAAGCAAGAGACCTGGCTTCGATTCCAGGCAAGGCAAAACCTTGGGCAAGTTTCCTTACTGCACAGATAATAATCCCTCATGAAAAAAAAATTGGTGACTTCAATCCACAACTGTTTGTGGGACACTGCTGTGCGCAATTGGCTGCTGCGATTCGCCCACAAATATACAGTCAATTCACTTCACAGTATATTCTGTGAAGCACTTTGAGATGTCTAGAAGACATGAAAAGCGCTATATCAAATGCAAGGATTATTATTATAATTAGTGTTAGAAGCAATATGTGTACTCATTAAATCCAATAACTTCTCTGGGACATCAATCAGACATCTTAGATTGTGTGTTGGGTTGCTGTTGGACTTTATCCACATAGCTTGCCATTGTCTACCATGCTTCCTGTTGCTTGTCCAGCTCGGACCACCCTATCTATTAAGGCTTTGGCTTGCAGGGTTAACCAGCTGTGCCACCATCATCCTACCCACAGCCCAGATACAAATCTCCAACCACTGAGTAATGGTTCTACCAGCTGGAGATGCGGAGCTTGAGTAGTATCTGCTTACCTCTCTGCATACACATCAAGGTAGATACCAAGTCTTGAACGTGTGTTCAAGTTATAAAATATCGTCAATGATATATATTTTGTGCTAGTTTGAGCAATTTGAGCAGATCTTCCGTCCATAAAACCCAGATACCATATATTGAGCTTGAAAAAATTCTCTCAGGAAAATAGTAGTTACTGGCACCTTGCTGCCAGAAAAAGCATACTGCGGTGTAAACCGCGACTCCAGAATGGAATCCCCATGTACGTCATGTCGACGTGCAAAACTTCGCCTCCAGGGCAATCTGAGGTCGCACAATAATCTTGGCATATCATGTACCGCTGAGACACTGAAGTATTGTTGGTTGGAGTCCAAGTAGGTTGAGATTTCATGACTTGAATCATTCTCTTAAGAAAATATTAACATCAGGTGTTCAAATTTAAAGAATCAGTCTTTGGCTTCTGTCCATAAGTTTTCATACGACCATTGTATTTCAACATCCAGGGTTCAAGGAAAATGTGATTTGCAAGAGCAGATTGTTATGTTTCATATCAGATGTTATCAAGAAACTATCTACATTGGATCACAGTAAATTGCTCAGAAGTTCACAGTTACTTAGTTTATCACCTAGAAAATAGAAAAGGTCTTCTTCATCTTGTAAGGAAGGTGGCCCTTATTAATCAAGTTTCCCAGAGCCTTACACACATCAAAACAGATGATCAAGACTATGCTGAGCACTAGTTATGATCGACTTATCATGTACCTCTCAATCTTTCAATAAACATAATTTAATCTTTGCAAATGCTTCAATGTCCTTTTGAAGGTAAAGTGCCCATGCCAATTCACAATATTCCAAACGCGACCCTATAGTTCCTTTTCAAACCCTTATTGAATAAACTCCTTAGATTAAGTGCAACTCATATTAAATCCATTGAGCCGTCTTAATATACAAACAGAAACACGTGAATACATTCTTTGATCTGTTTTAGCATTAAGTATTTACTTTGATTGATTTTTCTGCATTAATGAAGGAATTACCATTCATACTTAAGAACCAATAACTTACCAACTCTCAGGACAAAGTCATTGTATGACTGATAGTTAATTTCATCAAGAACGTCAAACATTTCCATAGCAAAATCCGCCAGAGTACTGAGGTGGGAATAAATTGACCGTTTTGCCTAAAGTTTGAAAAAAAATCAAAAACAGATTTAAAGTGGCCATTACGCTACTATTAACATTAAAGTTACACATAAATCATATCATATTTCAGACTGCATCAGTAAAACTTTTAGTCAGAGATCTGAAATTCCATCTAATTTTAGCCAGTAAGACTATATTTTATCTGAAAATGTAAGATCACACAGAATTGTAGAACATTCTTGGATTCAAATTCAATTTAGAAGCTTTTTATATTATAAACTGTGTGATCGAATTTAATTTGAACTGAATTTAAGAATGTTCCACAATTATAATAACTTTCACTTACATTGTGTCTTACATATAAAAGGAAATGTCTCCAAATGCTCAGTTTGATCACCAGAATTAGTGGAAGGTTCTCATGTGACATACACTATTTTTGCAGCCCTGTACAGGCTATTAACCCTTTGAGTGACACTGGCAAGTAAAACAATCTTTTTCTACATCATCATCAAAATAATAATAATAATATTTACATTTGATATAGCACCTTTCAAGTTAGGAAGATGTCTCAAAGTGCTTTACAGAATTTACTGTGGGTATTTTGTGGGTGAATGGCACTAACAGTCACAAAGTGAATGATTAGTTTTATCTGGGGGATTGTTGGCCAAGACACTGGGAGAAAATTCCCTTCTCTTTTCGTGTAGTGCTATGGGATCTTTAACACCCACTGAACAGGACCTATGTTTAATGTCTCGTCTGAAAGACAGCACTTCCAACAATGTGGCACACCTCCAGCACTGCATTACAGTATCAGCCAAGACTTTGTGGATTCTAAGACCCAATGTGAGATTTGGACTTACAACCTTCTGACTTAAGAGGCAACAGTCCTACCAACTGAGCCAGGCTGAGACACTGCTTCCACAATGCATTAAATATTGGTGTGTGATCTTCCCTAGGATGTCGCTGGCATTTATTGAAGATGAGCGTGTAATCTTCACAGGCGTCTGGTCTAATTTGTGATATTGGCTAAAAAAGTGTGCGAGTTTTTTACAAACGTGAGAGCCTGCGAGGCTTGACTGGATTCGATAACTTTGAAAGGAATGAAAGTGGTTAAAAATCCCAGAGAATGAAATCCATGGTGAGATGTAATTTCGTTCTCTGGCCCTTTTACTCATTTTTATGGTTTTTGGAAACCTTCAATTTGACCTCCCAAGCTGAACAAGGAGGCTCAAATTAATGACTTCCACCCTATTTGCAAATATTGTAAAGTTAACCTGACTGTCACCAACATGTTTTTATATTGTGGTTTCTTCTTCCCTGGTGAAATATCAGCTATTAAACTTCAGGCTTATTAGTTTCTCAATGGCTGCACATTTAGTCTGAGCCCATAAACACAATTTTGAAGCAAGTTGCTCTTCCAAAACAAGCAGAAAAAAGTCAGAAAACAAAGTTTATAGGCAGTTAAAAAAAAAGGTTTCAATGAATAGAAGAGGCGGAATAAGTAGAATATTGCAAAAATAACACTAAAATAAAATCAAGAACGGAGAAGAGAAAGGGAAAAGAGGACCTAAAAGGGGAAAAATAGATAAAATGTATGCTCCTTTTAAACAATATCATTTTACTAGTTTTTTGTATTTATTTTAGCCATTGTATATCCTCTGGACAGTGAGTTCAAATGCAATAAAAATTCCAATGTAGTGAAAACATCTAAAGGTCTCAGTTCACTTCCTTTGTAAACAAATGGACTAACAGTCTTTGCAATAATGAAATTTCCACCTGTGAAACTCTGAGAACAGATTTAACAAAGAGTGCAGAGACCTAGTCCTCGTGGGCTGACCAAAGCTGAAAAGAATGATATTATTACAATAACAAAGTTATTAAATCAGGGCAACTTTGTTACTATAATATTAACCCTATACAAGCTTTGTTTTAAAGTAACCTTCACAATAATAACCTGTCTTGAAGTAGCCAAAGAGGACAATTGTATATATTGTTTTGAACTTTCTGCATTTACTTTTCACATCACTATTCATTAACAATTTTGATTGAGGTCTCAGTAGAATATAAAGAAAAAAAATGTTACTTTGGCAGAAAAAAACTCCTTTTGTAATGTCAGAATAGGTGACCAATTTTGTGGGAAATGTGTGCTATGTGTCAAATTGTCAATAGGCTGTCTATTCATGAATAGGACATTTATACATTTTGAATAAGGTATATGTAACTGCAATGGTATGCCAACATTTTAATTACAAAACAGTACAACAAAGTCCTAAGTAGGAAATGCTACACACAGCAATAATAATGCTTGAAGGGCAATCTCATGTGTACCACCTGGTTCCTAAAAACCTGGAACTCATTGATATCAGTTCAGTCATTGCATGTGTGTACAGTACCTTATAATCGTCTGCAGCTATTGAATGATTCTGCTTGTGAATTTTAAACAGCAGCACTCAGTTTCAATGCAATTCCTGCATTTAGTTAGTTCAGAATAAGAAATAGATAGATTATCAAGGTCACCAGTGCACATGTTGTGCAAAAGCATACTATTCCCTTGTATATTTGCAGTAGAGAGATACTATATTTTATCTCTCTCCCCGTGTGCAACAAAGCAAATCTGAACAGCTCTGCTCACTGGCAATGAAAGCTAGTTACTATTTTAATGTCATTAAACATCAGGGAATATAACCAGCAAAATAAAATTAAAAAGCTTATGACAGTCCAGTGGACTTTCTGTACAAGAACTGTTTTCTTTTTAAATTGTTTAAAAATTATTGTAATGAGCTGCAGTGACAATTGGATGTATTTTGTAGTTAATGCCATTGAATCCATTCTTAAAGAGACAGCACTTGGAGTTGAATCAAAGCCCTTAAACTTCATTTACCCTCAATTTATTAGTGTTGAATTGTTGCTAAAAGTGCATGATAAATGGGGCATAAGAAAATAGATTAGGTTTAGGAACTATCAGTTCATAGTTTACTTTTTTCCAAACCCCCACAATATTTTGGGGATGCTTATGGATACTTGGAACAGAAGACACAAATTTTCAATCTGCTTTAGGTGTACGTTTGGAATGATGGCTCCCCGTTAACTCAGAGATTTCACAGCCGATCCCTTACCTTGGTTCCCGTTGTAGGTACAAGTCCAACTGCTGACATATAAGTGCTGCCGATTGTCTTTATCTTCTCTATATCCTTATAGCACTCCTTGTCCATTAGCTTTTGTACCAAAAGAAAGATTCATAATATATTTCTAAGCAATACAAAATTATTAAAAGTATTTTGCAAAAAGTTTTATGAAACAAGACTTGTTCACTTTGCACAAATAAAACTTACCTCATCAAAGTCAGCAATAATTTCATTTAAGAGCCGCAAACACTCCACCCCCATGTTATTCCCATCCAGTTCAATGTAAAAATCATTGAAATTGGGAATTGAGGCAAACATCACACCCACTTGTGAATAGGACTGGTAGTACAGGTCCTGTCAACAATAAAACAAGGGATATATACAGTCACTGTTAGAATGAATGTCCAGTTTACTGGACCAAGAGCCCATTATTCCTATAGAATTTATTTCTGTTTGGCCAAAATCATTTGTATCTACAAAGAAAACTAAAATGTAGAGCTGACTTGAGATAAGCAATTCACTGGGATGTTTAAATAAGAGATTGATGGATTCTTGGACTCAAATGTATTACGGGTTTTAAAATGGTAGAACAAGTTTGACAGGTCAAATGGCCCACTCCTTTTCTTATTTTCCTAAGCTTTTCACAAAATCTTCAGGTTATTTATTTTGGAGAAACAAATACTTCACCACTTTGCAAGGTTATATTTTTTCTCCCATATTTTCTTCCATATTTTCTCCCTCACCTCAGAACTAGGAGCACTAGGAGTAGTTATTACCCTAACCCTCTGGAAATATGTTTTTGTGCAGTGAAAACCCTTCATATAGCCAATAAATATTAAATATTTAAACATTCTTTCAACCAGAGTAGAGAACGTTAGAACATGTAATATTATGACGGTTACCATGGTAGCACAAGCCTGTTCATAACAGGTATTAGGAATTTCAAGCCTTGTTTTAGAGTAAAGCCCTAGTTTAAACATGCAACTAATGCTATGGATCAGGGCACTTATGACACAATGAGATAATTCACCCAGCAGTCAATGCAAACTCTAAACACAAAGAAATTCCATAGCAACACAGATGGGCCATAGATATATTATAAGACTCTTAAGGGAATATATAGCCTTATGAATTGAACTGCCAATTACTGTCAGGAGCACAGACCTGCTTGGGATCACTTCTTTAATGTTTTAGGAAGCAAACTGAGACCAAACAAAGTAATTTGTTCAAGAATCATCTGTTTAACATCTTTTGAAAAAAATCGTATTGATTTCCCTTCACTTTGGAAGATCAAATGTGTAAAAAATAGATCTATCTAGTCCCTCTCTTGCTGAGAAGCAGCTGACACTAACATTCGTTGATCAATGCTTCCTTATTAAGACACCATGCCACAGAGTTAATTGAAATCTGCTAGAGCCCACCTAAAATGTTTCTAAGAACTTTGCAAATACTAGAGTAAAGATTAAAGCTGCTGGGTCTCTGCAACTGAATCTCCTATCAAATGGTTTGGTATTGAAAGCTCTTAGAATGCAAACCTGGGCCAGTACTCTGAGGAATTTGTGCTGCTTTAGCAGCTTATCTAACATGAGGAGGGAGCAATATACTATTGGCTGTGATTCTTTCACTTGACTCCTGATAACTGAGGAAGGCCATACTCCAACAGGTAGTGACTAGCGATAGGAAGCTGACCACTGCTTTGTACAACAACAACAAATTGTATTTATATTGGTCCTTTCATGTCGGGAGGACAGCACAAGGCGCTGGCCTGTTGAGGATTTGCACTAGAGCTGGGGGTCGGATTCAAGAGGGGTAGAAAATATCATAATTGACAATACAGTTGATGTGTGCAGCAGAGATATGGTACAAGTCATTGGCTGGGACTAAAGGGAGAGACTTTTGTTCTTTCGTTCCTCTCTCCCACGTGAGACAGCTGCAATCTCCCAAAAGATTTGGCTTTGAGTAGAACATGACATGGAAAGGGTAGTACTACTTTCAAAAGATGATTCTCTTGGACCAGATCATGCCCTTTGAGCAGCTCGCTATAAAATAGTACTTTGTGATATAAGACTTCTCCCACTACCTGTGAATGTAGTACACCCTCTAAGCCTGTGAAATACTCAACAACATCAATTTTCATTTACAGTTAAATGTCCCAAAGCAATTTACAGAGATGGAGTGGGATATTCCCCCAAATTACATTTAAAACGTTGCATTAGAACTAACATAGAACAAACCTGCTGGCTAATTTCAACGTTTTAACTCATTCATGTCCCCAGTAACAACAGAAAACAACTTGAATTTATATAAAGCCCTTCTTGGATTGCTTCAGAGATAGTGCCAGACACCAAGCTGGAGAGGGGAAGGGGGAAGAGGGAGGTGGCAGTGTGTGTGGTTGAAGAGGTAAGTGTTTTGGTACATTTTTGAAAAATTAAAGAGAGAGAGTAAAATGGTGGGTTAAGGGAGAGAATTCCAGAGGGAGGGATTATCATGGTTGATGGTTTGATGACCAATGATGGGGCAGGGAACACAGGCCCAAATTTGCCGAGCCGACAAGGAGAGTGTAATAGTGAAGCAAAAGAAGATCATAGAGGTAGGGTATGAAAGGATTGGTAGATGAGGATGGGAATCTTAAACTAGATCCACTAGGAGATAGGAAATGGAGCCTGACAAGGATGGAGGTGAAAGTCATGTGAAGATCTGTGTGGGTAAGAATGAATACAACAACGTTTTTGAGGAGTTGGATGGTTGAGCCAAGGAGGCCAGTGAAGATGGTATTTTGAAAAGTCAAATCTGGTGGCGGTAAAGGTAACAATGAGGGTTTCAGCAGCATTAGGGCTGGGACGGGGATTGAAGTATGTAATGGGACTGTATAAGGGAGGAAAGAGACCTGAGGATCAAAATCAAATACTAAGTTGCACAATAATTTAGGGAGTTGGAGAGACAGAGACCAGGAAGGTTGACGGATTTGGAGCCAGAAGCAAGGAGATGTTGGCGTGAGCTAAGCTTTGTCTACATTAAGATTAAGGAAGTGAAAGCTCATACAGGACTTGATGCCTTGGTTGAGCACAACAATTGCCACATCTAAGCATTGAGTAAAACTCTTCATGCTTAACTTGGAAACCAGTTTTCCACAATTCTTATAAATGCAGACAAGCTTCCAAATGAAGACTAAATTTAAGAATTCTGTACAATTTTGTATGATCCTACAAAATGACAAAAGACAAAATGGTTTTACGCATGAAGACTAAATTGACCTCGGATTAAAACTAGGTTATATTCATTCAAATCTCTGATATCAACCACTAAAGATGTCTGACAGTCAGGCAGTCAGAATATCAATGGATCTGAAAGAAGTAAAAGTAGAGAAGTAGATTTGGGTGTCAGCAGTGTACTTATGTAAACTAACCCCATGTTTGCAGATGATGTATCTGAGGGGAAATATGCAGATGAGGAAAAGAAAGTGATCAAAGATGCAGCCCTGAGGTACACCATAGATGACAGTGTGAGGGTTAGAGGAGAAAGCACTGGAGGAAACGTAAAATGGAGGCAATGGGGCAAGGAGGATTAGAAGTAGGAAAGTGTGGTTCCACAGAGACCCTGCACAGCCCTTCAGAGCCAGACCTTGGCTATTGACAATAAACAAACACTGGGGAAAAAAGCCTGGAAGGCAATCCTCAAGGATGTCTAGAATGAGGGAGGGCCAGGTCAAAATTAAGCAATGAGAGCACCTCATCCCCACAACTCCCACAAATTCCGCCCAACAATGATATATGCAAGAAAGACAAAGTACTCTCTCCATCAGCAGAGTCCAATTCAACAACAACAAATTGCATTTATATAGTGCTTTTCAACTCGGGAGGACACCCCAAGGTGCTGATTCTCACCAATAGCTGTGAGAAAGTGAATCTCCAGCCTTGGTTGAGCACAACAATCGCCACATCTAAGCATTGAATAAAATTCTTCAGGCTTAATTTGGAAGCCAATTCTCCACAATTCTTATAAATGCAGACAAGCTTCCAAATGACGACTAAATTTGAGAGTTCTATACAATTTTGTATGATCCTACAAAATGACAAAAAACAAAATGGTCTTACACATGAAGACTAAATGGACATTCGATTAAAACTAGGTTATATTCATTCAAATCTCTGAAATCAACCACTAAAGAAAGGTCCAACTTCCTCATTATCTACCTGAAAAGTTCCAGAAGGCACCCAACACTCAAAGCCATTCACCCTGGAATCCAATATCTCTCTGCCATAGAAGATCCCAGCCATGCCAGTAAATAACACCAGAGCAAAGTAGCAAAGTATGTGATATACTCATTGTCCATATCTGTGAGTACCTTGCAAATTTAATTTGTATCATTCATCTCATATTACTCCAAAATAAAGTCATTGTGGGAATCCTGTATAACTTGACGTAAGTAAATAAAAGACAGGAAAAAGATCTCCTTTCTATCAACATCGCATCATATTTCGAAGAATAATTTATGCAAAATGTAACAGAAAACACATTCAACTGAAGAATTAACCCAATAATGCAATTCCCTTAATGGAAACACACACCATCAAGATTAATGAATGCAATATATTGTTACCATATTTCTTGGATTGGACAACAAAAAATGTTGTGCAACGTGAGCTGGAAGTAAATTAAAGAGGATGCGTTTGTTGTCAAGCTTGACCCGTTCCATGTCGTCTCTCTCTTCTTCTGCCTGAAAGAGGAGGAAATACATCAAATTAATCGAGGGCTTCAAGAACATATCGAATTAACAAAATTAACAAAAGAACTCAGGTTGAACACCACTCTCTCCAAGATAAATTTGGAGCAAACCTGGAAGCAGCTGCATGTATCTTTAGTGGTCTGCCTGTGAAACGTGCTGTAAAAGAACATTCTGTGCAGAAGAACATTCCCTGCAATGTCTCCGTAATTGGACAAATTTGCTCCACACCACAGAAAATCATTAATCACTCAACAAAACCTTTTTTTTACAGTTTACTCACTTTTTTTTATTTCACTCTTTCAAGTAATGTTCTGTAAAAACGACATAAATCAAAGCTCCCCCCCAAAAAAAACTAAATCAAGTTCTATTTGCAGAGTATTTGTTGTACGGGACTAAAGAATATAGGGGTGAAAAATGTGATGTTTCATCACAGAATTGGCATATTGAATCTGATCAGAAACATTGGAACTTCAGGCAACAGTTATGGATTGGTTTTGGCTAAGAACCTCATTCCCCGTGACTCCCACATCCGACCTTGACAGAACAGCTCGACTCAAAGATTTTGGCACTGTTATTGTCCTTTCTAAACACAAAGAACAGTGTTTCACTACCACCTTCTCATATTTTTAACTAGCTGTGGAAAACTGTTGCATGACTAAAACAACAACAACAACAAGATTCCATTTATAGAGCGCCTTTCACATCGGGAGGACGTCCCAGTTGGGTCAGGACCCGAGCAGGGGGAAATGGTCAGGGTGAGGGGAGGGAAGGGAGGGAGGGAGCGAGGAGGGGGTAGAGAGTCGAGAGGGGAGCTGAAGGCACGGTCAAAGAGAAAGGTCTTGAGACCGGCCTTGAAGAAGGAAAGGGAGGAGGCGGCGAAGGCACTGGGGGATAGAGTTCCAGAGCCTCGGGGCTGAGAGGTTGAAGGCCCGGCCACCGATGGTAGGGCGGTTGGGGCAGGGGATGTGGAGCAGACCGGAGCCAGAGGAACGGAGGGTACGGGCAGGTAGGTAGGGGGATAGTAGGTTGGAGAGGTAGGAGGGAGCGAGGCCGTGAATGGCCTTGTAGGTGAGGATGAGGATCTTGAAATCGATCCTCTGGGGGATGGGGAGCCAGTGGAGGCGAGCGAGGGTTGGAGTGATGTGGTCGCGAAGCCTGTACTTTTAAGAGGAACATTACTTTTAAGACAGAGGAACGTATAAACACTCTTTATAACAGGAGAAAGGCGCAGTGTCGGGAGTAAAAACAACTTCCATTGTTTAAGTTTCACAGAGGTGACCTAATATTCGAATAAATTGCAAGCAAATGCCATTAGTTTGCAGGTATTAATGGAATTCCAGGTTATAGTTAGTTTTATAATCTGTAAAAAAGAGATTGGCTTTTTGATGTTCTATGGTTAGAATAGAAATGGTGCAATGTAGTGAAAAAAAATCCTTGAAATTTGATATATTGCATTTATTTATTTGGTAAAAAAAGCTTTAAAGTAGAAATAATTTTCATAAATGACATATTTGTTTGGGTTGTCTTAAAGAGTACCTACTTCAAAGTAAACTTGTATTTTAAAAAGACTCATCGGAATCAAAGAAAGAAAGAAAGAAAGTGAGAAGGTTGATGACTTGAAACTTTCCATTCTAGTAGGGCCTAACACCACTCTCACCTTATAACCTATTTATTCAAAAATAAAAATTGTTCACTCACTCCATGGCTGTTTGTGGGAATTGCTGTGTGCAATTGGCTGCCACATTTCACCCATAAAATACACAGTAAATCCACTTTACAGTATATCCTGTGAAACACTTCGAGACATCTCAATGAGGTGGCAAGTTGGCATATCAAATGCAAGGACCTGCACTAAACTCCATTGCCCCATCACACCAATTCTACTGACTCTCTATCATCAAATGGATTGATTTCAAGATCCTCACACACATCTTCAAATCCCTTCATACCTTGATAACCCCCCTACCCCTCTGACCTGCTTACTCCCCAATCCACTACCCGCTGTCTCCACTCGACTGGCTCCGGCCTCCTGTTTGTCCCTCATGCCCTCCATTCCACCATCAGTGGCTGCACTTTCTGCCATTACTACCCAAAATTCTGGAACTCTCTCCCTTAATCCCTCCTCCTTATCCTCTCCTTCACCATCTTCAGGTTGCACCTGAAGACCTTTTTCTTCTACTGTGCTTACGGTCACCTACCCCCGGCTTGGCGATGTGCTCTGCCACTGTCTAGTGCTCTAGGACGGTACCCTGCGTGTGGGGCTTTGTATAAATGTAAGTTGTTGTTGTATGCATTCTTTTTTGAAATATTTTTAAATGCCTGCATGATAATAATCCTTGCATTTGATATCGTGCCTTATCACGTCTTTGAGACATCTCAAAGCGCTTAACAGAATTGTCTGTATATATTTTGTGGGCGAAATGTGGCATCCAATTGGGCACAGCAGCGTCCCACAAACAGTTGTGGATTGAGTGACCACATTTTTTTGTTTAAGGGATTATTACTCCCGGAAAAATGATCCACCAATCGACTAACAACTGGGTTCCTACTTACTGCTAGGTGAACAGAGGTATGTGGAGTAAGGAAACATGCTCAATTTTTCGCCCTGCTAGTAATCGAATCCAGGTCCTCTCGTTTGTGAGACAAATGCTCTAACCAATAAGTTACAGGACTCCACGGTGTAGCACCTATAATATCTTCAAATTTATGTGAAGTGTGTAATGATCGTACTTGTCGGTGAATGCGGCAGCCAATTTTCACACACCAGTGTCCGATAACAGCGATTAAATGAATTATTAATTTTAAATGGGGGAAATTGTTGGCCAGGTCAAATCTGTTTTCAAATAGTGCTACACAATCTTTAATGTTCAGTTGAACAGGGTGTCAGCCTCGAAGTCCCAACATAGGGCTTAAATCCTTCTGATTCAGCAGTAGGACTGCTACCAACTAAGACAGGCTGACAGTTTTTGCTTGACTAGAACAGAAATAAGTGTAAGAAGGACTTAAAATTCTACAAAGGTGAAGTTTTCAGGACTGAATTAGGAAAAATAGCAAAACACTGATAGAGGCTGCAAAAGGAAAAATCAAATAATTGTTCACAAAGCACCTACAAATTGCTTGTCTTGTTTAAAATTAGTACCCTGAAGTTTAGTAGTAGAGTGAATGAAATGCTTGAGTGTTAATAAAGCTAGTCTTTTTGTATATAAAGAACTGAGCTCTTTGAGAAAAATCTAAGGGAGAAGTGCTACTTAACCTCTGGGAACTGAGTCAAATCTAGCTCAGCCACTGGGATGACGGTTAATGTGAGGGTTCTATGTGAAATTAATAAGATTCAGCCCCAAACTACAAAATAACACGAGTCATCCTTGCATTTTATATATCAGGAGGATGTTGTGCTAGTTATATAGTCCTTGCCAAACTCCACTGGCTCCCTGTCATAGAGCAGATCGACTTCAAGATCCTCACTCTAGTGTTTAAATCCCTCCATTCCTTGGCAGCCCCTATCTCTCTAACCTCTTCTCTCCCCACAGCAGTACCCGATGCCTCCGCTCTACTGGGTCCAGCCTCCTCCGTGTCCCCTGAATCCTCCGCTCTACCATCAGTGGCCATGCCTTCAGCCATTACGGCCCCGAAAATTTGGAACTCCCTTCTTCAACCCCTTCGCCTCGCCCCCTCCTTCCCCATCTTCAGGTCGCACCTGAAGACCTTCCTCTTCGACTGCGCCCACAGTCACCTTCCCCCTACCCTTGGCTCGGCTTTGGGCTCCGCCATTGTTAAGTGCTCTGAGACGCCACCTGGAGTGGAGAGTGCTATATAAATGCAAATTGCTGTTGTTATGTAAGGTGCTGCTCTCAAGAGATGTTCTCAGGCAAGAAAGGAATGATTCAGTCAAGATGCCTCTTACTGATGTTTATCCAGTAAAACCTGTATGTGTTCAGACAGTGGACAGAGAAAGATTCAGTTCAGCTGTAATGTGTATCATTGGAGTCCTGTAGCTCAGTGGTTAGAGCACTCGCTTTGCAAGCGAGAGACCTGAGTTCAATTCCAGGCAGAGGGCGAAACCTTGGGCAAGTTTCCTTACTCCACACACCTAATAATAATCCCTCCAAAACAAAAAACAATAATAAATTGGTCATTTTCAATCTACGACTGTTTGTGGGACATTGCTGTGCGCAATTGGCTGCCGCGTTCGCCCACAAATATACAGTCAATTCACTTTACAGTGTGTTTTGTGAAGCGCTTTGGGACGTCTTCCCGACGTGAAAAGCGCTATAACAAATGCAAGGATTATTATTATTATTATTATTATTATTATTATTATTATTATTATTATTATTATTATTATGATGGTTGCTAACACTATCTGTCCAAGCTCATGAAGAACGGTCAAAGGCAGCATTCTGCAGGACTGTTAGTACCTGGGGACTAGTAGGAGTCGCCACCTTCAGGAGAAGAGCGGAATTATCTTTTTAAAAAAACTAAAAAATGTTTTTAAACAAATTAAATTTCTCTTTTAAGTGTCACAACAACAACAACAATAATTCATTTATAGACGAAGTGAGAAACACAAGATCCCTTTCAGTATCTGGAAATGCTTCACACCAACCAATGGGAACACTGCTCTGATGCAAACCAATGACCTGAAAGATAATAATAATAATCTTTGCATTTTGATATAGTGACTCTTCACCTATGGTGTTTAGGAGTCACAAGCACGTCACAAGATATACTGTAAAGTAGATTGCTGTGTATTTTGTGAGCGAAACTCTAACTCAAATACTCTCGTTACAAATATCACGTTCTAGATCACAATGAAGCATATCTTCCTCAAGAAATAGAAGAAATATGAGAAGATTAGCGATTTGATAGAATCTTACTAATTTAGTACAAATAACAGACAAATCCATAATGAGTTTAGGCTTGAAATTCCATCTAAACTTGACCTATACAACCATTTTGTCTTTATTTTGACCATAGTTTAAGATCATGCA